TTCTCTATACAGATTACTATTCAAGCAGGTATTATCAATAAGTACTATTAGTGCAAGTGTTATTCGAAGGCATCTGACATTAGTATTGTTCAACAGCATATTATAGTTGTATCTGCGATTACAAAGTCTCTACTACAGTGAGCATTACGAAAATAACAACAAGTATTCATTGACATTACAAAAGTGTCAAACGAGTGTTCATTGACATCACAAAAGATAACAACAATATAGATGAGAACAATAGTCTGCATGAAAATAATAACTATTAAGTTTAAGGAGTCAATTCTAGTACCACATGACATGTTCCCAAAACAACAATGGGGCTTTGTTTTTATTGTATGATAGCCTTGTATCCTGGAAGTCTGTTGCTATTTTGGGATTGAGCAAATTAATAAAGATCCTTCTACTGAAATTTGTTAGCATAAATATTAAATGTTTTTCAATTGCTTTTCATCATAACTTGTTAGATTGCCAATCGAGGTCTATTAATAAACATCCTAGGTGGAGATGAAGAATGATCTTGTAACAATGCTTTCATCTCTTTTTTTCAAAAAACCTAATTTGAAGGAGATGCATCAAGACATACTTTTTAAGTTCATACATGCACTGTTTACTAATAACACTAAAATATAGAAATCTGACTATTTATTTTAATCAAATTCACCCCATGCAAGGTAGTAAGCCACTAAGACACAAGAGGTCACTGGGTGTGAAAGAATTCAAAAACAAACATTAAGGAGCAAGAACAATAGAAGAGTAATCATAAAGACCATAGATAACAATTGACATTGCATTTAAATTTTTGAAGATCAAAGCTGGTTGGAAAGCATGGAACTGGAAGAGAGTTCCACAAGTGAGAAGTGTGAGAAAAGAAACTGTTAGCATAGAACTTATGGTTACATCTAGCCAATGAAACCCTAAGTTGATAAGACTTTGCCACCAATCTAGTAATGCACTTAAATTCATATAGTCTAAGTACCATAGCGAAGAGCTCATCCAAACAATTACCATGAAAATATTTATAAAGAAGGTACAAGTAAATAACTTTACAGTTGTGGGAAAGTGACTGTAGCCAAGACACCAGGTCAGGACCAATAACATTGCAGATTCTTCTTTGGATTTTATCAAGAATCTCTAAATATATAACAGGAGCATTAGACTATATGTGACAGCAATATTCAAAGCCTGAGTGAATGGCAGACATAGATATGTAAGATACATTCTGACAAGAATAATTGTCTTGCATGACAACTTTCTTAGCAGCAGACCTAGCAATGGATTCAATATAATCTTTCCACTTCATGTTAGCTGAGAATGTTATCCTGATAAAGCATGTCACTCTCCTGGAGATTAGCATCAGCCATGCTAATAGAAGACAAAAGGGGGTCTCTCAGATGATTGATAGAGAACAATTTTGTATTGGAAGTGTTAAAATTAACAAGCGATTCTTTGACCCAGTTAACAACAGATTGTAGATCATTTTTGACATCATTTTTAACATCAGCCATAAAGGAAAAGCAACTAAACTTAAGATGAATGGAATACAAGTTCAGAATGATTATTAAAAGGCTTCATCTAATTAAAGATTTTAATTCTAATAATCGCTACTTATCCTCCTTTCAGAATGTGGGAGATGATGGTTTTCCACAATTTTCTGTCTTTCATTGTTCTAAGTAACTTTTGACCCTTTACCACTCTTTTTGTCCTTATTCTGGCATCCATTCACATAAACTTATTTGGTAGGTTATTTACTGTTTACCTACCTATCTTGCCTTCAATGTCTTGTAAGTGTTAAATTCTCCAGGTCTTCTTTCCTCATTGTCTGTCCAAGAAATTTCAGTACAGGAATCACCTCTAGAATTGACTTCTCTGACAAAGCAACCACTGTGAGATTTGAAGGCTCATCTTAACTTAAACTGGAACTCAAGTGGAATTTGAATTTTGCTCTCCAATTTCTCATTCAGATATTCATTTTCCTGGTTGTATAATCATTTTCCAAGCACACACCTACTCAGATAGTTAACAGATCCCTATTGCAAATGTCTGCTTGCTCAGGAACATTTTGTGTTTGTTCCATATCCACAAAGCCCACCTGTAGTTTATACAGCAACTATGCTGAGCATATCTTAGTTACAGTTTTTGGGAGAGATTGCACAACCTGATATGATCAGTAGTTGAACAAAACCAATATGCTTGAAATCTTGGTCTTAATTGATTGATTTGTTTTTTATAGCTTATCAATCTTTTGTAGGTTATTTAAAGCCAGAAAATATTTTTAGATTGTAAGAATTTTTTGGAGATAATGATTTACTTATACAAGTCTTACTAATTATCCTATAGCTGGAGAGAAAAGAGGTGCATTCATATCTTTCTCATGTAAGTGAATATAACAAACCTGACTGGAATTGGATCTAAGTTCTCTGATTTCCAGTTTCAAACTGTTATCTATTACACATCCAAACTTACATCACCTGGTATACACAAGCAGTCACTCATCTAGGTACTGATCTGGCTTGACATTGTTTACTTCATTGATTGTACAAGAACCAGTGTTTCAATGTGATATGGTCGTAAGCATCACTTGGTCATGATGACTTGTAACTTCATGCTAGTATAACCATTGATGGCTTTCTATCCAATTTCCCCCAGAAGGCTTGTTTCAACCTATAGTATCTTTTCTCAAAGATTTCTCAATGTTGTTAAGTGTTGGAATCATCTTTGCAGGCCAATATTATAAAGAAGTTACATCCTTGAGCAATTGACCATAATGAGATTTGATCCTGGGTTTCATGGCAAAAATGCTAATTGTAGTGATATCAGCTGTCAGCTGATGACATCTTGCTAAGGACCCACTGCAACAATTACAGAAGAAAGTCAGCTTAATCAAGTGGACCTTCCACAAACCAGGTCAAATGATCCTGACAAAAAATGTCACTGATTTACTTTGAGTTCTTGAATTACTTTTTTAGACAGAGCTGACAAAACAAAGAATGTTCTCTATAAGACAATGGTCACTAGCAGCTGAAAACAGAAAGAGAGGGGAAGAGAAGACCGCTCAGTGGGTGCCACACACACGGCCTGTGAGAAGGTTCATACCCTCTCTTACCTTCAACTACCCACACCTTGCTTGTCTATAGCAAAAGTTTACAACCAGAATAAAATTTGCCTAGTGCAACAACTTTGTTTGGTCTTATTTTGTGGATGACGATCTGGCCAAAGAGTTATTTTGTAAGCCACAAGCATTTGACTAAAAGAAGCTGCAATCTGAGAATAATCCTGGTGTCTTGACTAAGCTGCAATACTACATAATGATCTAACCACTTGGCCATGTATCCACACATAAATACAATATTAAAAAAACATACAAATACCTTCAGATGACTAGACTACACACAGGTAAATCTAATAAGTCTACCAAACCAACCATTTCTCAAAATGTAAGTCTTTCACAATCCTTTACATCACAGTTTTGTAAAAATCTTCAATTTACCATATTCAAAGACACTGTCACCTGGAATCACCAGTGCAAAGGAAATAACTATATGGTGAAAGATTTCAGTTAACAATATGCAACTTCACCTGGTATATTATAGAAAGTGGTGCTGAAAAGTACTCAGCTGAACCCACTTTCTAAAATTTGAAAATGTTTTTAGGAAGAGCTTTTTGGTCAGTTGGAGAACTTCTCAGCACCCCCATATATCACTTTAAATTTTTTTATTTTTTTTTAGCATATAACCATATTTGAGTTTCATGTTCCATTTATTCACTAAAAAAATATTTAAAGTGATAAAATCTCTTGGATTAATAAATAAAAATACATTACTTTATTTATGCAAACATGGTTTTAACAACTCGTGATAAAAAGAACTGGCACAATTAGTTAAATTTAAAGAAGTCATACTGTTCTTTTTTCTTTGTTTTGTAAGATAAAAATAACTAAGTTTTACTCCTTATACAGTTTGTCCACATGCAGATTTGCAGTGTATTAAATAACATATCTGCACAGCAACTGTTATCAACAGGAACACTTGGCCCAGCTGAAAAATTGAAGAAAGAGAGAAGAAAATAAAGTTTGTCTCTTTCCTGATGGACAAACAGAGAGTCAAAAAAATATGAAAGACCAATCCTGAATGACCCCAATTAACTTTGTAAATCTTAATAGTGACCAATTTCATGTTTGTTTGTCCCCACCCACCCCAGAATCATCAAAATGAGGCAATAATAATCACACTCCAGAAGGAAAAGGCAGAGAGTGGAATGTGGGAGAAAGAGAGGAGTTTTATAAAATGGTGAGAGAGAAAGAAAAAAGAGAGAATAACAAAGGAAGAAGAGTGAAACAAAAGCAAAGAAATTAAAAGAGAGGAGTAAAAAAAAAGAAAGATGTTGGCAGGGGTGGGTAAGTAAAAACAAAGAGAAAAAAGAAAGGTAAAAAGATGGAAAAGAATGAGAGAAAGAACTATGGGAGAAAAGGTAGACTTAATAAATGTTAAAAAAAGAAACCAAAAGAAAGAGAAAAGGAGGGTAAAATAAAGGCAAAGAAGGTAAGAGAGAAGAGTGAGAAAGAAAGATACTGGGGGGGGGGAATATGAGTAAAAAAAAAGAAAGAAATGGAAAAGAATGGGTGAAAAAATATAATAAATAGTAAAAGAGGAAAGAGAAAAAAGACTGAAATAAAAGCAAAGAAGGTGAGAGAAAGAAAGATGCTGGTAGTGAAGAAGTATAAAAAAGAAAAGAGAAAAAAAAGCAAGATAAAAAGATTGAAAAGAATGGGAGGAAGGTATGTGGGTGAAAGCTACAAGTTAAAATGTAGTAAAAGAGGAGAGAGATATAAAAGAGATGAGAAAAAGAAAGAGAAAAAAGAAGGTGAAAAAAGTGAATGTAAATATGCTGATGGGGAGTAGGATTAAAAAAGAAAGCAAAAAAGAAAAGGGTTAAAGAATGGGGGGAATAAAAATGGCAGAGGAATAAACAGAAAGAGAAAAGGTAGAAAAGTAAGAAACTGAAAGAGAGAAAGAAGAAAAAAGAGAAAGAAAGAAAGAAAAAAGAGAGACAGGCGGAAGAAAAGAAAAGAGACAGACAGATGGAAGGAAAGAAAAGAGAGAGACAGACGAAAGGAAAGAAAAGAGAGAGACAGATGGAAAAAAAAGAGAGAGACAGACAGAAAGAAAGAAAAAAGAGAAACAGACAGAAAGAAAAGAGAAAGACAGACAGAAAGAAAGAAAAAAGAGAAACAGATGGAAAGAAAGAAAAAGAGAGACAGACAGAAAGAAAGAAAAAAGAGAGACAGACAGAAAGAAAGAAAAGAGAGATACAGACAGAAAGAAAGAAAAAAGAGAGACAGACAGAAAGAAAGAAAAAAGAGATACAGATGGAAAGAAAGAAGAGAGACAGATAGAAAGAAAGAAAGAAAGAAAGAAAGGAGAAAAAAGACAGAAAGACAGATGAAAAGTGACAGAAAGAGAGAGGCAAGTAAAGAAAGAAAAAGCTGTATAAAATCAAGAACAAAGAAGATAAACTTGAGTGAAACAAATATGCAAAGTAGTAATGGCTACCAAATAAAATCAAGTGTATAAAAACACTCCCACCACTCCACATTACTACTCTCTTAGTCAATATACACTTGTGTGTGTGAGTAATGTCACTTCAAAATATGGGTGATCATGTCTCTCCACAACTTCTTTTTTTGTTTTGTTTAAGTTACTATTTCTCCCTTACAACCTGCCTTTGTTTTTTTGTGATGCTTGTTCATAACCATCTGTTATTGCAAGCAGGAAATTTCAACAAAATATATTTGCTAACAAGAAAACATTAAGACAGTTCCATAAACCTAAAAGAAATGAAAAGTTCTATGTGTCATGTCCCTTCAAGACATTATTCTTCTAGAATTCTTTTTATTCTATATGCTGTGTCACTTCAGGACATGGACGATCATGGCTCTCCACAATTTCCTATCCTTTGTAACGCTTAATAAATTTTAGCTTTTTGTTATCTCTTCTAAAACTTGCTCCATAGGTAAGTTATGTTGCACATGTTGTAGATTTGTTATAAGGTTCATGACCATTATTGGATGGTTAACCTTTAAATAGAAAATACAGCATTATTCATGAGTTTATATTGTTTTAACCAAGCTAGGGGGATGTAAAGTCATTCATCTTTTTCTTTTCTTTACTATGTTCGTGTGTGTGTGTGTAGCAATATAGTGTGACTATAAACATTATATTTCGCAAGTACCTATATTTGATTAGACATTCCAACTTCTTTTAAACATTGAAATAGATATCTACAAGCCTAAGGATCAAAAGTCTTATTAAAGAAAATGTACCTCTCAACAGAAATTGAACCTGTACTCTATCCTTCATCTGAGAAACTACCTTCAAGCCAGACATGTTTACCATTAAGCTACAGGAAATCATTTACAATAATAAGAAATAATGCCAGATTAAAAATCCATTAATTGCTTAAATATATATATATATATATATATATATATATATATATATATATATATATATATATATATATGTTCTGAACAATAAAAATATTAAAAAATTAAAATTTTCAGACGCACTGTGTTGCATATTAATATTTTTTGTTTCATTATTTCAATTAGGTTCCTCAACCAGTTTCCACCAGTATGGCCATCATCAAGAGAAAAAAAGCCCTGCTTGTTAGTAGCAGTGAACTACAGCAGTGAATGACTGTTTCTGAAGAAAGTGAATTTTATCTGTAGTTTTCATTTGTTTTTTATCGTTAATTTTGGTCAAATGGCCTTTTTCAAGTTGTTCTTAAGATAGAGGATGAAGATTCCTGACTTTAAAAATTACCTCTTTAGCCATTTTAACAGTTTTATTGGTTGCTGGAAATGGGATGTGTGTGTTAAGTGTATGTTATCTTTTAGTTCTTTGGGAGTGTGTATGATGTGTGTATGTGTATACATTAGTATTAGTGTGTATATATAAAACAAAAGGATTCAAACTTGAATTCTAGCCATGACCCTTTCACAGTGTTCAGAATAATCATTACTATAATGCAATATGCATCACACAATAACATCTTAAGAGACAACCGTGAAAAGAAATTAACAGCAAACCCTTTGAAAATGGCTAAAGAAGTGACCAAAACTGCTTGAGACAATAAACACTAAGGGAAATTTTTACACCAAATAGAAAAAGTCAATAAAAAAATGTCATCTAATTTTCCTTGTCTGTCATACTCAACAAAACATATTATATAAATACTAGCAGCATGACCCAGCATTGCCCATGCTTGATTAAAAAATCATACGACACATACAGCAATCGCTATCATTTTTGCCCTTCCTTGCCTTTAAACGGAGTGCCCTTTGCCGTGCTGATGTTGCTACATGCCTTACTTCTTGCCTATCTCACACTGCAAATTTTTTCTAAGCTCTATACTAAACATTAAATCTGTTATGAAAAAAGAACTGAACAAAATGAACACAAAATGATCAGCTTTAAAAAAGGACTTGTAACTGGAAAAACCGAATGAAAAAAGAATGTTAACAATAAATACTTTTTCACACCCAACCCAGTTCTGTAGAATCAGAATCAACGTTGAGTTTAAGCAAGTGAATGATCCAATTGGAGTAAAGTGCCATGCAGATTAAAATTTTTCCCACTTGTGACGAATGCAGCTATCAATTTTTTTGCATGCTAGCATGCTAGTTAACATTCATGTCAGTCAGCTGCTGGCTCTCACGCTGGCCAATAGAATCTTCCTGCCTATTCATGGCAGCCAGCTATAGGCTCTCACTCTGGCCAGTAGAAAATGGCCGCAAACAACATGAAAACTGCCGTAGAAGAATTTAAAAATTGATTATTTTCACTATCGATGGGAGTTGGGAAATGCAAAGACGATCTTGGCCTCCCTGCTAACTTGGAGCATGTGCATGTAAATTTTGGTGCAAATCCATTGAAAATTGTGGCCATGCATTCATTACACACACACACACACATCCTGCCTTTTATAGATAGAGATAATGTAATATTCAGTTGATACATGAATTTCAGTAGAACACTACTGAAAGGCATATTTTCTTTATTAAAGACTCTTAAATGCATAGGCTAACAGATAATACTTACTGTTTTAAAAAACAGGTATGTTTACTCAAACACATGTAAATGCTAAATATAACATTAACAGTAATAAGAAATTGTATTAGATTATAAATAAAATCTTTTAATTTATTAGAAATATGTGAATATATTGTTTGAAATTTGATGCATTTATGGGAAAAGAGTACTCAATATCAAGTATAGAGTGTTTGTAAATATAGACAAACTGAACATTGGAATCAAAACTTATATTAAAATAAATTATAAATTTTTCTAGTAAAATAATTTGAAGTTATTTCTGTTATATTACACAGTACTTCTTACATCATTATATATATATATATATATATATGTGAAAAGTGTGTGTATATAAATATAAATATATATATATATATATATATATATATATATATATATATATATATATATAATTATTTATATATTATATGCAGTACTTATTAGAAAACGCTCAATATCAGAGATAGAGCTAACATATTTGGTTGGATAGATGTGAGTTTGTGACCTGGGTTTTTAAATATAAATATATATATATATATATATATATATATATATATATATAATTATTTATATATTATATGCGCAGTACTTATTAGAAAACGCTCAATATCAGAGATAGAGCTAACATATTTAGTTGGATAGATGTGAGTTTGTGACCCTGGGTTGACGATCGCTAAAGCATGAAACCCAGGGTCACAAAACATCTATCTAACCAAATATATATATATATATATATATATATATATATATATATATATATATATATATATGATTAGAATAAATGAAATTTTTTATATATTTGTTTAATAAACCATATCCATAATAACTTGCAGTGTATTTTTATATTAAAATAATTTTTAATGCATTTCTATATAGTTCTATATACACTTTTAGCATTTGCTTTGTGACTATATATATAATCATTAGAGTGAATGAAATGTAATGTATTTATTTAATGAATCCCATAGGTGATATCATGTTATATAAATAGCTTATATTACAATCATTTCTCATGCATTTTTATTAAGAAAAGTGTGTTGCAAGTGATATCACTTATGAGTAATCAAATAGTGCTGATGATATTTTAGGGTGTTAATGTTTTTAAATATGAAAAGGAATAATAGTAATAAAGATTAAAAAAAAAATATTAAGGGTTTTATGCAGAAATAATGCAAGATAATTTGCAGTAAATTTTAAATATTACAATGCAAAAAATACTGTCAAAATCATTTGCAATGCATTTTTATAGTAAAAAACCATTTGCAATTCATTTCTATGGTAAAATACCATTTGCAATGCATTTTTATAGTAAAAATCATTTGCAATGCATTTTTATAGTAAAAATCATTTGCAATGCATTTTTATAGTAAAAATCATTTGCAATGCATTTTTATAGTAAAAATCATTTGCAATGCATTTTTATAGTAAAAATCATTTGCAATGCATTTTCAAAGTAAGGTTGATTTGCAATGCATTTTCAAAGTAAAATTCATTTGCAATGCATTTTCAAAGTAAAATTCATTTGCAATATATTTTCAAAGTAAAAATAATTTTCAATGCATTTTTCATAGTAAAAATCATTTATAATGCATTTTCATAGTAAAAATCATTTATAATACATTTTCATAGTAAAAATCATTTTCAATGCATTTTTATAATAAAATTTGTTACATACACACATTTTTATAGTAAAAATCATTTTCAATGCATTTTTATAGTAAAACTCATTTGCAATGCATTTTTATAGTAAAAATCATTTGCAATGCATTTTTCATAGTAAAAATCATTTGCAATGAATTTTTATAGTAAAACTCATTTGCAATGAATTTTTATAGTAAAAATCATTTGCAATGCATTTTTATAGTAAAAATCATTTGCAATGCATTTTTATAGTAAAAATCATTTACAATGCATTTTATAGTAAAAATCATTTGCAATGCATTTTTATAGTAAGAATCATTTGCAATGCATTTTTCATAGTAAAAATCATTTGCAATGCATTTTTATAGTAAAAATCATTTGCAATGAATTTTTATAGTAAAACTCATTTGCAATGAATTTTTATAGTAAAAATCATTTGCAATGAATTTTTATAGTAAAAATCATTTGCAATGCATTTTTATAGTAAAAATCATTTGCAATGCATTTTTAAAGTTAACTAATTCCCAATGCACACTTTTAGTATTTGCAATGTTACTATATTTGTAATCATTAAAGTGGATGTAAGCTTTGATATATTTTTTATAACAGCTGTTATAATTTATAAATTTCTGTTGTAAATTTATTTGCAATGTTTTTTTATGGATAAATTTCCAAGTAACTTCTGTAATTTCTTTTATTATATTCTGTGTCAATATATATGTAATTGTGAAAGCGTGTAAAAGTTTTGATC